TCGGGCGGTATGAGTGTGCCACGTCGTCAAGGCCGTTCTCTACCTTCTTTGAAGCGCGAATGCGACAAAAAGTGGCAGGAAACGAATAATACGAACGATACGATACAGTCATATCACTTGTTCGCTTTAATAACTGTTGGAGAACGGGTTTGGCACCGCGTCAAACTCATCCCGATGCCCGACCATCCGCAACGAAGTACACCGACCTAAACAACAAATTTGCACATCATACGCTTAATATCCCTCATGTTACTCCCATGGGCCAGGAGCTTCTCTGTCGGCACCTAGCATTCGGAAACCTAGCTTCAAGGTACTTATGCGTATTCTCATTGAGTAATGTTGAGCACAAATCACTCCTTTCAATCATTATACTTCTTATAACCGTGCACTCTCCTCTTGTTACTTAAGGAGGAATCATACTGTATCAACGTAAAAGTGTCCCTTTATTTGAATGATTGTGCTTGTTGTATCCCGCTTGAGATCATCAATTCTTCTCCCTTCAGACCTTTGTCTTACATGTCAGTTGGTGACTCATCGCTGTTTCCTTTCGTCAGGCTTTTCTTTTTGTCGACCTGTTAGCGCAGAAAATAAACGCGAAGTGCACACTATAAATCTAGCAGGATTCAGAAGCCACACATGAACACCTATCCCCGAAAATTTGTTCTTCCAATTAATGTAATTGATTTGTCACTACATTAGTTACGAATGCTTTCACGCTTCAAAGACTACAGGATTCCGGTATTAGCAATATCCGAGACGAAAACGTGCAAATCCTTGCAACAGAAAAAGACCAGAAGAGTGATTCCACGAATTGATCAAAAATTTCGCGATGCATGGAGGAACAGTTGACTGCTTACTAAATAAAATATTTCTTGCCTGAAAATTCACCTTTCTTCGTTCTTGGAGGGTGGGTAGGCTCTGATGGGAAGTCAAGATGAACACGACCATAAGTGCTGAACTTCTGCAGCAACGCTTCTGAAAAGGAACAGTGTCAAAGTAATTTCTTCACAGAACTTGGTGACAATGAAATACATGCTTCTCATCTAGATAATCCACTCATTTCACAATGAAGAAACCTTTGCTAATATCTTGCGGAAGTCCTCCAATGAAAACTTTGCGAGAAATTGAATGCGCATCTTCATCAGAAACCGTAGAGGGTGAAGGACTCGCTTGTCTAGTACCTGAAATTTGTGGTCAGCGAAGCAAAAGTAATGTGTGACCTACTGATCGATGTTTTCTTGTTAAACATGTTTGTGTCGATTATCTCACAGAACGAATAAGGATGTTCTATGAAGACGGGGGTATCGTAATTATTGTAATTATAAATCATAATTATCGGTGGGACGCTTACGAATGCTCAGCCGGAGGCACGCGCGGTCGTAACCACGCACCAATGCCACTTCTTAAGAGCAGTGTTACCAATGGGCTTTCTGCTATGCGCACTGCATGAGACTGTTATGCAGCTTATACATCCTATTAATATAATGCACTAAGTATGTGTGTGTGTCACGAAATTCATAGCGACCGTCCCAGTAGCTGTGGAAGTTGATTCCAAGCAGTGATATAGGGGCTGTGACGGGAACATTATTGGTGGGTGACAGGAAGTGATATCAGCTGATAAGATCCGATAAGAGGTGACAGAAGGGGAGTGTGACCAAGTCACAGCAACGGTGGGACGTTAGTTCCAAGGTATGATATAGGGTATGGGGAAGGAATATTGTTATTATTATTGGTGGGTGACAAGAACTGCTAGCTAGCAGTTAATAAGATTTGATAAAGGAGTTAGAATGGCGAGGTCACCATGTTTATAACGCGAGACGCAGTATCAGCTAGGCGTTGATTCCAGCAGATGATATAGGTGGGGAAGTCGATAGAAAGTGATAAAAACAATGGAACATGAGGAAATAAACTTTACCGTTGTTTGTCAGTCGAAATGAGTATTGAGCCTCTAGACTAAAAGTACTGGGATGCATTATATACGCGTGTAGCGGGGG